TGTTGAAAAGACGGGAAATCAGCAAGGCTAAAATTCCCAGAAGAACTCAGTGACTTTTGTGAAAAATTAGAATGTTGGAATTGTGGGGTGGTCGGAGGGGTCAACTGAAAGTAAAAGTATAAGGTCAAAAAAAGAGAAGTGGCAGCCAGTGAATAAAAAGACAATATAGACTGAATTGGAGGTGGGGGGGGGGGCTGGTAGGAGAGGGATAGGGGGCTCCAGAGGATGAATGGTTGTTCCCCTCTTTCCCCCCTTTTTTTCCTCCTTCTCTCCTCCTCCCCACCTCCCCTGTGTTCCCAGCAAGTCTTTGGAGAAAATAAGTAGAGTTGGTGGGGTGTCGGGAGGCCAAACAGGATATTAAACACTTAAGCCCTATGTTGAGTGTGGGGGTAGGAGCAGGTGTTCATGTTCAGAGTATTACTCCAATTTAGGAATCACCAGTGGGGGAATCCCACGTCAGCTTCCAAGGCAATATACAGGCCAAGGGGTTTTTAGTAAGTTAGGTAAGGTTTAGGGTGAGTGGGAGGGGGGGGTGAGGGAAGGGAGGGGACCTGGGAGGGGCAGGGTTGGTGGAAGGTCCATGAAATGGGTAGTCTATACTGCTTTCCCTTTGAACAAGAAAGAGAACAGACACACTACACAGCTATGAGCCTGATTAATTTAATGACATATAATGTGAAAGGTTTAAATTCTCCTACCAAAAGACATAAGATACTCAGGGAAGTTCACCAACTCTCCGCAGATGTTGTGTTCTTACAGGAGACGCATTTATCAGATGATACCAAGGTCACATTACACTCAGGGTACTACCTAACTTGGTATTTTCGTGGACTCACCGATAAAGAGGGCTAGAGGAGAGTAGCAATCAGGCTCTCAAAAAATGTGGGTTTTGATGTGGAGGAGAGATTTCTATGCTTAAGAGGGAAAATGTGGGGACAAAGCTATACCTTGGTTAATATCTATTGCCCAAATCAAAATCCAAAACTATTTCTGTATGCAGTCTTGGGGAAAATTATGGAGTGTAAAATGGGGATTCTGGTCTTGGCAGGAGATTTTAATTTTGTCCTGATCCATGGATGGTTACGTCTTCGAATGCACACAGAGGAGGTAACAAATTAAGAATGTTGAAAAAGAGGTTACATCAAAGTCAGCTATTGGACGCATGGAGGGTGAAACACCCCAGAGAAAGAGACTATACCTTCTTCTCCCTGGTGCATAGATCGTACTCATGGTTAGATTATATTATGATAAAGCATAAATAATTACAGGTGAAACTCGAAAAATTTGATTATCGTGCAAAAGTTCATTTATTTCAGTAGTGCAACTTAAAAGGTGAAACTAATATATGAGATAGACTCATTACATGCAAAGCAAGATAGTTCAAGCCGTGATTTGCCATAATTGTGATGATTATGGCTTACAGCTCATGAAAACCCCAAGTCCACAATCTCAGAAAATTAGAATATATCATGCAATCAATAAAACAAGGATTGTACATAGAACAATATCGGACCTCTAAAAAGTATAAGCATGCATATGTACTCAGTACTTGCTTTGGGCCCCTTTTGCAGCAATTACTGCCTCAATGCAGCATGGCATGGAAGCTATCAACCTGTGGCACTGCTGAGCTGTTATGGAAGACCAGGATGCTTCAATAGCGGCTTTCAGCTCTTCTGCATTGTTCGGTCTCATGTCTCTTATCTTTCTCTTGGCAATGCCCCATAGATTCTCTATGGGGTTCAGATCAGGTGAGTTTGCTGGCCAATCAAGCACAGTAATCCCACGGTCATTGAACCAGGTTTTGGTGCTTTTGGCAGTGTGGGCAGGTGCCAAGTCCTGCTGGAAAATGAAGTCAGCATCCCCATAAAGCCTGTCTGCGAAGGAATCATGAAGTGCTCCAGAATCTCCTGGTAGACGGCTGCGTTGACCCTGGACTTAATGAAGCACAGTGGACCAACACCAGCAGATGATATGGCTCCCCAAATCAACACAGACTGTGGAAACTTCACACTGGACTTCAAGCATCTTGCAGTGTGTGCCTCTCCATTCTTCCTCCATACTCTGGGTCTTTGGTTTGCAAATGAGATGCAAAAGTTGCTCTCATCAGAAAAGAGGACTTTGGACCACTGAGCAACAGACCAGGTCTGTTTTTCTTTAGCCCAGGTAAGACGCTTCTGACGTTTTTTGTTGTTCAGGAACGGCTTGACAAGAGGAATACGACATTTGAAGCACATGTCCAGGATCCGTCTGTGTGTGGTGGCTCTTGATGCACTGACTCCAGCCTCCGTCCACTCCTTGTGAAAGTCCCCAACACTTTTGAATGGCATTTTCCTGACAATCCTCTCCAGGCTACGGTCATCCCTGCTGCTTGTGCACCTTTTTCTTCCACACTTTTCCCTTCCACATAACTTTCTATTAATGTGCTTTGATACAGCACTTTGGGAACATCCAACTTCTTTTGCAATTACCTCTTGAGGCTTTCCCTCCTTATGGAGGGTGTCAATGATGGTTTTCTGCACAACTGTCAGGTCAGCAGTCTTTCCCATGATTGTGATTCCTACTGAACCAGACCGAGAGACCATTTTAAAGGCTCAGGAACCCTTTGCAGGTGTTATGGCCTAATTAGCTGATTAGAGTGGGACACTTTGAGCCTAGAATATTGCACCTTTTCACAATATTCTTATTTTCTGAGATTGTGGATTTGGGGTTTTCATGAGCTGTATGCCATAATCATCACAATTATGACAAATCACGGCTTGAACTATCTTGCTTTGCATGTAATGAGTCTATCTCATATATTAGTTTCACCTTTTAAGTTGCATTACTGAAATAAATTAACTTTTGCACAATATTCAAATTTTTTGAGTTTCACCTGTAGATTCATTGGTTAAATCCAATATAGAAGTTATGTCTATCTCAGATCGTGCTCCTGTTATGGCGAGATTAAAGGTGGGAGGAGAAGGGAACAAAAGTCCAATGTGGAGACTAAATGAGATGCTTATACAGGACCCTGAAGTAGAGAGGAGGCTAAGGGAGGAACTAGAGCAATTATTTTTGTTAAATGAAACTAAGGAAGTCTCTGTAGTCACCATTTGGGAAGCACATAAGGCGTATGTGAGAGGAATCCTGATAGCCGCAGAAACTAAAAAAAAGAAAGATCGGGAGAGAAAAATAAAGGAGGTGATGGGAGGAGTTATTGTCAGGAATGGACTAGCCAGCAATGGTGGGACTCACCTGCCTTTTGATCTGCAGTACCAGGGCTGGCCAGCGGATGCTCCCAGCAATCAGAGACTCAACTTTGCAGCCAGCTAACACCTGGAACTGATTATGCTGGGGTATTTAAGGGATGGCCAGACTTGCAGACTCTGCCTTGGTGTTGTGTTTCTCTTGGGCCCTGTATCCTGTTCCTGCTCTCTGTTCCTGTCTGATTCTCTGCTGACCCTGCTCTGATCCCTGGCTTGTCTGACCATCCCTCTGCCTGACCCTCTGTACTACGCTGCCTGCTACCTGTTCTGATCCCTGGCTTGTGACCCTGACCATCCCTCTGCCTGACCCTCTGTACTATGCTGCTAGCTACCTGCTGAACCTGGCCTGTGACCCCGACCAATCTCCGCTTGCTCCCCCTGTACCTACCTGCCCAATTGATATTGACCCGGCCTGCCTGACGACGCTTGCTTGTATGTACTGTTATCTGTGGGTGGTTGGTTTGGTTTGTTTGCACTGTATTATGTTTAGTATTGCACTGCGTTTATGTTTGTATTGTTAGTGTTAATAAATTATATTGTTTATCACATATCTGAAGTCTGCGTTTCCCTGCGTCAGTCACACACCTCTGGTCACACCTGGGAGCCCTGACATTACACCAAGGCCAATCCTGACCAGAAGTGGCTGCACAGGGAAGCCATCTTGGCTTGTTGCTGGGAAGGATGGATCTGGATGAGGTTGTGTATTTATCTCTGCTAGTGTTTGATGACAGGGAGTATGCTTATCAAACTCTGAAGGAGTATCCCAGGGATCAACTACTAGAATGTATACGGCTCGCTCATGTTCTAGTAGATCAGGGCACAGAGTTCTCTGAGGTGCAGCCTTTGATTGAGGTTTGTGCTGAGTTGGTTTCATCTGGTTCCCCCAAATGCAGGGATGAATTTTTGCCACCATTTAGTGCAGACCAGGTAGAGTCCCTGGTGTGGTTTATTAGAGGATGATGTGGGTTACTTTCTGGAGCGTTATTCCACATGTTCACCACAGACACTAAGAGATTGTATAAACGCAGTGCAGTCATTGACCAGACAGGCTTTGTGTAAGCTCAGCTTTGTTCAACCCCTACTGCAGACATGGACAGACTTGTTGCACCCAGCCTCAGTCAGCTTACAAAAACCCAGTCCTGCTTCTAACTCTACTCCTGTATTCCCACCAGCTCCTCCAGTTACAGCCCAGTATACTTGGCTATCTACCGCATGTCAGTACCCTGTTCCCACTCGCTGCACCTATCCTGCCTTTAACCCTGTAAAAAAGCCCTCTGTAGCAACTGCTCCCTCTCCTGTTCCATCCTCCAGTTTTTCTGTCTCCAGCTGCTCCATTCGTTTGCAGACCTGTGTTTACTTGCAGTGCTCCAGTAGTTAAAACCAGAAAAAAGCGAAAATTCTTTCCAACCAATACCATCCTGCCAGTATCCAAACCGGTGAACCTGCCTTCCGTGACTCAGCCTGAAGCCTGAAGCCTCTCTTCAGCCTGAATGCCTCTCTTCAGCCTGATGCCTCTCTTCAGCCTGATGCCTCTCTTCAGCCGGATGCCTCTCTTCAGCCGGATGCCTCTCTTCAGCCGGATGCCTCTCTTCAGCCGGATGCCTCTCTTCAGCCAGATGCCTCTCTTCAGCCTGATGCCTCTCTTCAGCCTGATGCCTCTACTCAGCCTGAAGCCTCTACTCGGCCTGATGCCTGCATTCAGCCTGATGCCGCTACTCAGCATGATGAACCGATCCAGCCCGACGATCCTATTAGGCCAGTTGACTCGATGCCCGCTGTTGATCCGGTACCTGATCCAGTGCCCGCTGTCGTGCCAATTGACTCAGAGCCCGCTGTCATACCTGGTGACCCGGTGCCCACTGCCTTGCCAGATAACGCGGTGCCCGCTGGCAAGCCAAATGACCTGATGCCTGGTGACCCAGTGCCCGCTGTCATACCTGGTGACCCGATGCCCGCTGTCGAGCCAGACAATCCGATACCTGATGACCCGGTGCCCACTGTCGTGCCTGTTGACTCGGAGCCCACTGTCTTGCCAGACGACTCGGTGCCCGCTGTTCTGCCAGACGACTCGGTGCCCGCTGTTCCGCCAGTTGACTCGATGCCCGCTGTTCCGCCAGTTGACTCGGTGCCCGCAGTCTTGCCAGACGACTCGGTGCCCGCAGTCTTGCCAGACGACTCGGTGCCCGCAGTCTTGCCAGTTGACTCGATGCCCGCTGTTCCGCCAGTTGACTCGGTGCCCGCAGTCTTGCCAGACGACTCGGTGCCCGCAGTCTTGCCAGACGACTCGGTGCCCGCTGTTCCGCCAGTTGACTCGGTGCCCGCTGTTCCGCCAGTTGACTCGGTGCCCGCTGTTCCGCCAGTTGACTCGGTGCCCGCAGTCTTGCCTGACGACTCGGTGCCCGCAGTCTTGCCAGACGACTCGGTGCCCACTGTCATGCCTGGTGACTCGGTGCCCGCCGCTTCTTCTGGGGGCCCGAGACCTGTTGCTCCGCCCGGGGGGCCCGAGACCTGTTGCTCCACCTGGGGGTCCGGCGCCCGCCGCTCCGCCTGAGGGCCCGAGACCTGTCGCTCCATCTGGGGGTCCGGCGCCCGCCGCTCCGCCTGGGGGCCCGAGACCTGTCGCTCCACCTGGGGGCCCGAGACCTGTCGCTCCGCCTTGGGGCCCGAGACCTGTCGCTCCGCCTGGGGGCCCGAGACCTGTCGCTCCACCTGGGGGTCCGGCGCGCCCGCCGCTCCGCCTGAGGGCCCGAGACCTGTACCTGTCGCTCCATCTGGGGGTCCGGCGCCCGCCGCTCCGCCTGGGGCCCGAGACCTGTCGCTCCGCCTGGGGCCCGAGACCTGTCGCTCCACCTGGGGGTCCGGCGCCCGCCGCTCCGCCTGAGGGCCCGAGACCTGTCGCTCCACCTGGGGGTCCGGGGCCCGCCGCTCCGCCTGAGGGCCCGAGACCTGTCGCTCCATCTGGGGGTCCGGCGCCCGCCGCTCCGCCTGGGGGCCCGATGCCTGTCGCCCCGCCTGGGGGCCCGATGCCTGTCGCCCCTCCTGGGGGCCCGATGCCTGTCGCCCCTCCTGGGGGCCCGATGCCTGTCGCCCCGCCTGGGGGCCCGATGCCTGTCGCCCCGCCTGGGGGCCCGATGCCTGTCGCCCCTCCTGGGGGCCCGGCGCCTGCCGCTCTGCCTGGGGGCCCGGCGCCCGCCGCTCTGCCTGGGGGCCCGGCGCCCGCCCCGCCCTGCCTGGGGACCCGATGCCGGTCGCCCCGCCCGGGGGCCCGGTGCCGGTCGCCCCGCCGGGGGGCCCGGTGCCTACCGCTCCGCCCGGTGGCCCGCTGCCTGCTGCTTCGCCTGGTAATCCGATGTGCCTCTGCCCGGAGTCCAGCCCGATGTGCCTCTGCCCGGAGTCCAGCCCGATGTGCCTCTGCCCGGAGTCCAGCCCGATGTGCCTCTGCCCGGAGTCCAGCCCGATGTGCCTCTGCCCGGAGTCCTGCCCGATGTGCCTCTGCCCGGAGTCCTGCCCGGTGTGCCTCTGCCCGGAGTCCTGCCCGGTGTGCCTCTGCCCGGAGTCCTGCCCGATGTGCCTCTGCCCGGAGTCCTGCCCGGTGTGCCTCTGCCCGGTGTGCCCTTGCCCAATGTGCCTCTGCCCCGGTGTGCCCCTGCCCGGTGTGCCGCTGCCCGGAGTCCTGCCCGGTGTGCCGCTGCCCGGAGTCCTGCCCGGTGTGCCAGTCTTTGATATCCCGCCAGTTACCAGACCCGGGCGGTGGAACATTTTGCCCAGCTAGGACTGTTTGGAGCGTCCTGAGGCCGCTCCTTGAGGGGGGGGGTACTGTCAGGAATGGACTAGCCAGCAATGGTGGGACTCACCTGCCTTTTGATCTGCAGTACCAGGGCTGGCCAGCGGGTGCTCCCAGCAATCAGAGACTCAACTTTGCAGCCAGCTAACACCTGGAACTGATTATGCTGGGGTATTTAAGGGATGGCCAGACTTGCAGACTCTGCCTTGGTGTTGTGTTTCTCTTGGGCCCTGTATCCTGTTCCTCCTGCTCTCTGTTCCTGTCTGATTCTCTGCTGACCCTGCTCTGATCCCTGGCTTGTCTGACCATCCCTCTGCCTGACCCTCTGTACTACGCTGCCTGCTACCTGTTCTGATCCCTGGCTTGTGACCCTGACCATCCCTCTGCCTGACCCTCTGTACTACGCTGCTAGCTACCTGCTGAACCTGGCCTGTGACCCCGACCAATCTCCGCTTGCTCCCCCTGTACCTACCTGCCCAATTGATATTGACCGGCCTGCCTGACGACGCTTGCTTGTATGTACTGTTATCTGTGGGTGGTTGGTTTGGTTTGTTTGCACTGTATTATGTTTAGTATTGCACTGCGTTTATGTTTGTATTGTTAGTGTTAATAAATTATATTGTTTATCACATATCTGAAGTCTGCGTTTCCCTGCGTCAGTCACACACCTCTGGTCACACCTGGGAGCCCTGACAGTTATACAGATTAGAACAGGCACATAAAAAGAGACAGGATACAGAGGTCCATTAGAAGATTATACTTAAAAGAGAGGAGTTAAAAGACCTATTGTAACAGGAAACAAGGAAGGTCTTCAATAGGGTTTCAAAGGAAAAATATCAGTTGGGGAGTAAACCAGGAAAATATTTGATGAACAGACTTAAGACGAAAGAAATCAAAAAATTATATTGAAAAAATTAAAGCTGAAAAAGGAGAAATGGTTTACTCGACCACTGATATTGCTGAAATGTTTAAAAATGTTTATAGCAGGCTGTATGATGTAAAATCTAAGAACCCAAAAGCTACAGAAGAAGAAAAACAGGGAAAAACAGCAGGAATTTCTAAAGGCAGCAGACCTGCCAAAAATATTAAAAGAAGAAGAAAAATTAGTATCGTTAGAACAAGCGATCTCCCAGGAGGAAATTAACATGGCCCTGAAGAATACGGAAGGAGGGAAGAGCCCAGGACCTGACGGGTATACGGTGGGGTATTATAAAAAAAGTTGGAGACTTATTGGTCCCCAAATTTTGTACATATATGAACAGCTTAGGAGAGGGAATGGGAATAAGAGCAGAATCGCTAAAAGCGTACATAACGATAATTTTAAAAGAAGGAAAGGATAGTTCACAATGCGCTAGCTATAGATCTTTAGCACTACTAAATATAGATATAAATGTGTTTTTTTTTTTTTTTTTCGGTTTGCGAATGTATTAGCTACGAGGTTAAAAGAGCTGATGCTGGAATGGATACATTTAGATCAAATGTGTTTTGTCCCTGGAAGGGAAGGGAGGGATAATGGTCTAAGAGCATTGCTTTTTTTACAAAAGGCAAAGAGAGAAAAGTTACCAACAATTTTATTGTTGATCGACGCTGAGAAAACTTTTGACAGGGTAGATTGGGGAGTTTATGATAAATACCCTAGAGGCCTTGGGAATAGGGATTAAGATGATGAGTTGGATAAAGAAGCTCTACAATAGCCCATATGCAGCGATTAAGGTAAATGGGTCCCTCTCAAGGTTTTTTAAGATGTACAATGGTACAAGACAGGGATGCCCCTTATCCCTGTTATTATTTGTTATATCCCTGGAACCTTTGCTGGCGACGGTAAGAAAGAGTGTAGAGGAATTAAGATAAGTGAGACAGAGCATAAGGTAGCAGCTAGAGATGAGCGAATCGAAGTATCCGAAGTGGAATTCGAGTCGAATTTTTCAGAAAATGGCGGCTGACATGTGCGGCGACGGAGCGGGGATGTCTGGGAAGGCGCGCAGACAAGGCGCGCTGACCCATAATGCATTCCTCAACTACATGTGATCGCATCAGCCAATCAGCAGCCAGCCAGCCAGCACTGTGTAATGGTCGAGCTATAAATAGCGGCCATTTTGGAATTCTTCATTTGCCTGCAGTTATTGAACAGAGGCAGACCGCTCTGTACTAGGGACAGGGACAGAGTTAGGGCCACAGAAACGATAATTGGGGACAGAGAAAAGTTACTTAGGGACAGAGAACCATTACTCAGGGACACAGACTTGTTAATGAGGGCCACAGAATCGTTATTTAGGGACAAAGAAACGCTAGTTAGGGCCACAGAATTCATAATCAGGGACAGACAGAATTGTTACTCAGTGCCAGAGAATTGTTACTTAGGGCCACAGAAACGTTATTAGGGCCACAGAATTTTTACTCAGGGACAGACAGAATTTTTACTGAGTGCCAGAGAATTGTTACTCAGGGACAGACAGAATTGTTACTGAGTGCCAGAGAATTGTTACTTAGGGCCACAGAAACTTTACTTAGGGCCACAGAATTTTTACTCAGGGACAGACAGAATTGTTACTGAGTGCCAGAGAATTGTTACTCAGGGACAGACAGAATTGTTACTGAGTGCCAGAGAATTGTTACTCAGGGCCACAGAAACTTTACTTAGGGCCACAGAATTTTTACTCAGGGACAGACAGAATTGTTACTGAGTGCCAGAGAATTGTTACTCAGGGACAGACAGAATTGTTACTGAGTGCCAGAGAATTGTTACTTAGGGCCACAGAAACTTTACTTAGGGCCACAGAATTGTTACTCGCACAGACACAGAATTGTTACTCGCACAGACACAGAATTGTTACTGAAGGCCACAGAACTGTTACTTAGGGCCACAGAAATTGTTACTCGCACAGACACAGAATTGTTACTCGCACAGACACAGAACTGTTACTTAGGGCCACAGAATTGTTACTAGGGCCACAGAATTGTTACTCGCACAGACACAGAATTGTTACTCAGGGCCACAGAACTGTTACTTAGGACAAAGAAACGCTAGTTAGGAGTGCCAGAGAATTCATACTCAGGGACAGACAGAATTGTTACGGAGTGCCAGAGAATTGTTACTCAGGGCCACAGAAACTTTACTTAGGGCCACAGAATTTTTACTCAGGGACAGACAGAATTGTTACTGAGTGCCAGAGAATTGTTACTCAGGGACAGACAGAATTGTTACGGAGTGCCAGAGAATTGTTACTCAGGGCCACAGAAACTTTACTTAGGGCCACAGAATTTTTACTCAGGGACAGACAGAATTGTTACTGAGTGCCAGAGAATTGTTACTCAGGGACAGACAGAATTGTTACTGAGTGCCAGAGAATTGTTACTTAGGGCCACAGAAACTTTACTTAGGGCCACAGAATTGTTACTCACTCGCACAGACACAGAATTGTTACTCGCACAGACACAGAACTGTTACTGAGGGCCA